TACGCTATCAACGAACAAACTGGTAAAGAAGAATTCATGCGCACTTTGTGCCCAGCTTGGGCGGATCGCGTTCTTTACAATGAGAAGATGGACAAGCTTTTCCGATATGTGAGTGCTTAAATACTCTGTCGTTACTAAACTGAGTAAGACAGGCTAGAACCTGTAAGCAGGGAAACTGCAAGGTACTGTCCGCAACCGCAGTTTTTTAGAAGATTTTTCAGAAATGCAGAAGTGTATCTCTACATCTATGCCGTCATCCACTTCTTAAGCACGAGCCTTTCCCCTAGTAATTACCCCACGCCTGACTGAGGGTTACGGTCTACTTAAACTCGACCTTTGAAAAGCGATGTGCTGCCCTCGTCTTCACCTTTTCGCCTAAATAGACTCGTAACCATTGTGACTTCGCACGCTCCACTTTTTGCTTCAAGTCAGATGACTTACCACAACTGTCCCCACCCGTTCGCGCTCTACCATTGACAAAACATGGAGGGAAAGTGTTGAAGGCACAACCCAGGCACATGTGAACGGTTTCTTCGCTTGTAGGATAGACCCTAGAGGACAATCACAGATGTGGCATTCCCGTGCACGGAAATCACCCGACAAGAGCGCTAGGGCCTTGCAAAGTAAGCTGCTGCAGCTGCAATTTTTTCTTTTATCAGGCTGTTGTCTGGCGCCCTCTCATCTGTGCGCTCTCTCGCCTCATCTCTCCACGCTTAGTCTCTCATTGCCTTAGCACAGCTATTACGAAGGGGTGTGAGCCTTCAACTTAAAGGAAGTAGTCACGGAAATTCCCATGGAGACGATAGGGAAAGTGACATAGTGGATTGGGTAGGGGTCCTACCCAATGGGACGACAGGTGACGCTTCAGGGCAGTGGCGCCTTATCAACGGCGTGATAAGGCGCCGAAACCCACTTCCGGTTCGGCGTTGCACCTCCTTATCAGACGTGGAAGGGGATGCAACAGCAGCGTGCTAGATATGATACGGTTATCGTTATCGTTCGATTTTCATGCTGGAGTGCACCTCATTCAAGCAGCCGTATCTTCTTATCTAATCGTATCGTATCTCCATAGGGTTATTTCGTCCAACTATCTACCCTCGCCTTCAAATGACCAGAAATTGTGCAATTGCAGAAATTGACGTGGCATTAACGTGGCATCGATTCAAGAACATCTTTGAGCACACGTGATGTCACCTTTTCATCGAGAATTTAGCCACGTGTGCCACGTGGATTTCTGGCTGCATGAAACAGTGTATTTCCGACCTTGTTGATAATACGGAGTTCGGCGATCCACGTGGAAGCCAGCGTGACCGCTTCCTTCAAGCGTTTTCTACGGATTCTTTCCCATGTTTCTATACTGCCGACTCCAGAAGTACACGCCGCAACCCGCGGGCGATTACTAAGGCCGCGTTCATAGTTCGCGACTCGGAGATTAGGATAGTAGGCGACAGGATATTAGGATAGTAGTAGAGTAGGAGATTGCGCTGACAAGATTGGATACGTATCGATTGAAATCGCTGGAGAGTAGTAGATTGGGCGACTTCAAGCGAATAGATCAATACATATCTAATCTTGTCGCACTATCCTAATCTACTACTATCCTACTATCGTAATATCGCAATCTACTACTCTCCAGCGATTTCAATCGATACGTATCTAATCTTGTCAGCGCAATCTCCTACTCTACTACTATCCTAATCTCCCCGTCAATACATATGTTTTTCATTGTCGCGTACTATCCTAATCTCCGGAGTCGCGAACTATCCGGCCTAATTCCGCGACCATTACCTCAAAAAGCTGGAATTCCACCAAGGTCCTGCTCCTGTCTGCGCTGACTTTTCATAAGTGTTTCACGATTAACAGTGAGTAGGTTGATCTTCATTCGTCAGCGCTCTACCCTTTCCATTAATATCGCTCTACCTGTAGTAGAATTGAACTTTCTGTCATGGCCCTGTCGTGAAAGGAGCGCGAACGAATAAAATACATCGTCTAAGTCAGCTCATAAAACACTATTCAAAGAAAACAAAGGAATAAAGTCGAAGGCATAAAGTGGACAGCTCGTACTCATTGCGGCAAATTTTGTCGCACGCGGCCTCCGCGATATATCTGCGGTCCTAAAAATTCGCGTGCAGCTTTCGCGACATATCTCGGTTCCTAAAAATTCATTTCCAGGATTCCTTCTGCGCTTCCGGGCTCTACTATGGTTTGGTAGGTGAGAACGTGTACATTGGACAACATAAACCTGTTGCGTTACACGCCACTATTTGCCTAAAATGAGAACGGCGGCGTCAATCTGCAAATAAAACCGAACCGATCACTTTTCTAGCAATTTACGATACTATGTCCATAACCATTGTGATTCTGAAAATTCCTCTCGCCCTACTCCCAAAGGGAGTGCAACTCCTTAGAACGTCGTGCCAGCTGTCTAGTAGCCCTATGACCCACCCTCAAAGCATTTCGTCTCATATCCGGGCTTCGTGCATGCTTTTAATTTCGATTTCCGCCTTGTTTCGTTTGCAAAACAATAAACATTGATTGAGTTCAACCATTACTTCGCAGAATACTGTTGGCGTCATCAAAAGTCAGCAATTCACATCGATCTAGGCACAGTTCGCGAACACGAGAACAATCCTTCCCAAAAACGAGGTAACCACCTTAGCAACCACGGAGTTGCTGTCACTTTCTGACTAAAGATGAGTGAAAATGGAGCTAGAGGCTTACGACTTGTAACCACGCACGCCCCATGCACTTTGAGCACCCACCCTCACGAATGAGCTCCTGTCTGCGTCTC